TATAATATTTTAAACACGACGGCCCCACGTTGGGCGCCAATTAATGTAACCTACAAAATGAACTTGGTAATTCCACCAAAATTTTTAAACAAAAAAAAAAAAATTATTAAAGTATTAACTACAATTAAAAATGTTGTCTACTACGGTTACACAAGTTTCGGTTGTTCCGGTGTCAACCTTCGGGCCTTCGACGTCGCTCAGACGGCAGCTAGGGGGTGGATAGCTTACAAAAATTCCGGAAATAGTAGACAAATAAATAGGCGCCAACTGGGTCTATATAGTGGCCAAACTATGATCCTATTTCCCCAAAAACCCAGTAAATGAGGAAAGAAATAAAAGACAAACCTCAACTTATGTTCCTTTATAAAGAAAAAAAAAAATATTTAGTAAATATACAAACTAATAGATAATTAGATAATAAAAAAAAAGTTGGAGGAAATTAAAAGGAAAAACTTACACAGTGTATGTATATGCATAACCCAAAAAAAAAAAAAATTAATAAATGTATCAAAGTATGGAACGGTTCGTCGTTAGCTTGGTACCAGGCATGACGCTTGCGCAAAACATTAATTTCCACCTTACATAAAAAAAATATAATATAATAGTTAACTTAAATATTGTGCATCACCGTACCTATACTACTTCATATATTATAAAAACAGTAAACTTATAATCTTTATAATCTTATAACCCTCTCCAAATTGGAAGGCGATATCTGCTTAACTTTTGGTTAAGACCAAACTACCCAAAAGAAAATTATTAAACCATGAAATTTTATAATTAAGTATAATTCATAGAACTAAATAAAAGTATAAAAAAAAATAATAAAAATACAAAGATACACTAAAGGACTTCAGACACAGAGGTTATTTACTTAAACTCCCAGATTGGAAGAGGTTACTTAATCTCTGCCCCCACACGGGTCTTCTGAGATTGCTTAACTTAATCGTTAAGTCTGGACTATTTAATAATGAATAAATTAAAAAAGTAAAATTATGGCAGTAGCCCTTAATAACTGAAGAATTACAACTTAAACGAGGAAGCAGTCCAAGTGTTCTGCGACCCGAAGGATTACTACATCAGCATTAAGTGCTTAAATTAAGTAAACATTTAAAATATTAATCAATTAAACGATGTAACATTTGATAATAATTAAGTTATGAGTGAAAGAACCCTAGAACATTCTGTGCTCAAAAGTATAAATAATGTTGAGAATACCTTGACAACATTCGGTTGAAAATGAATGTATAGTTTAACAATGCACACATGAAACCTTCAATATAACGTATAAGAAAAACCTGATAGTAGGGTGTCTTCTTTCACAGCATTCCCATCTTCCTATCCAGAACAAGAAACATTCTTGTAAATCTAGCTACAAGTAAACTAGGTGGTTAGCATACCAATGTTCTGTGTCCCCTCGATGAGTCCACGATGAAACCGTTGAACTCCGGACGATATAACCCTCTGTGTACAACTGTTGAAATCCTGGGTCAACAATCCCTTGGGTCAAACTGTCGTCGAATCCTGGGCTAACAACCCCCTGGGTTAAACCCTTAAAATATTACAAAGAAAAATGTCAATACACATTGACTCAAGTATCCCGAACTATAGGATTACCCAAAAATGTACATAAACTAGAAAATATTCAGTATCTAGGATAAAGAAAAATTACATTGGCTCAACAGTGAGTCATAAACAGTATTATGAGCTCAAATAATTAAAATTCTGTTACACATGGTTGGTAACATAACCTAATATATACAAAACATACCTTTTTCGTAAAGGGTTAACTTGGTAGCCTTTCAAGGATGAGAACCACGTAAGATGATTCACAGCACAACAATATTCCACACTCCAAATGCTGTGAACGTCCAATTCTTGCGTTAAAATCCTATATTAGATATGGGCTGGACCAATGACCATGGGAATTTACCAATTCACTAAAATTCCCCTCAAAATACGAAATGTCCATTTACCCACAGTTAACCATGAAATAGAATCTAAAATCCCCTTTAATTAGGGTAAGCCGATGGGGCTAAATATTAAGAAAATTCTATTTCGACACAAAAATCGTCTCTCGTGACTGAATACCCACTGACAGAAAAAAACAATACGTCAGCCGTCCAAAATGGCCGAAATCCCTTTCCGATAAATGTCAAGTGGGTTCAGAAATTCATCCTCAAGAATTCCCCACTATATAACTTAACAGACCATTTACGAAAGGTACCCTAAAAACTATATTTATATACAGTATAACTACATTTGGGAAACTGTTCCCGACAAAAAATTAACACAACAGCGATCGCAAAACAAAATCCCTCACGACTTAAAATCGCTCATTGTGAAACTACCTTACCTCGGGTTCTGAGCCCGATATTGGGAACGTTCCACCAACATGACACTTGTCGGTGTTCTGTCGTCAAGTGACGTTTATGTCATTCACTGTCATAATTAAAAAATATTAACCTAACCTGACATCTGTAACAAAAATAAACAAAGAAAGTCTTAAAGAATGGTATCGTAAATAATTAATTACCCAAAGGTGAGACTATAATACATAATATGTATAAATTTATAACGAAACTTGGTCTATTTTTAGGAGAATCTGGCAAATTAAAACAGTGAACACTACACTGAAAATATGACCATTGTACCAAGTATTATACTAGGGGTGAGCTACCATCCTTTTACTTAGTGATGAGATGAAATAAATTGTAATAATGATGTCCAAAAGTTAGAATACAGGTGAAATTAGTTAATGACCAAAATAATAGTGATATCATCCATACGATTTTACCCTTTTTTTTTCGTATGATTAACCAGGTAAGCCAAAACAATTTTATTAATTCGTGGGGCCAAAAATGAACGTTACACAACGAATTCTTGGACTGTTGGTAAAATTAAAGAATGGTTGACAAAGAAACATACTATTTCCTCAATATATATTAAAATCAGAATTATTACACTTGGCAAATATACAAGCAGAACCAAAAACCTTTGTTGTGGATCAAATTATTGAAAATTACGGTCATCAAGTTTTACGTCTGCCACCGTATCATTGCCAGTTTAATCCCATCGAATTAATATGGGGAATAGCAAAACAATATTATGACAACCATATTCGGCCTAATGGTTATAGTGATGACGCAGTTCGGGAAACTTGGCGAAAAGCACTTTCAATTGCAACTCTTGTTTTATTACAACATTTCTGTACATAGTTTTTACAAGTCAGTCCATTTTAATATTTCAGTCCTCGATCAGACAAAAATATATTCTAATATTCCATGTTTAAAAAATGAACAAATTATTGCTGATTTAAAAAAGAAGACTATTGTACTTCATGACATCGAGTTTGAATCACTAGAAATAGAACTTCTTTTAGGAGCGGATGTCATTGGAAACCTTTACACAGGAGTTATCGAAAGTATTAATGAAAATTTGGTTGCAATCGAGACCCATCTCGGTTGGACAGTTATGGGAAAATCTTATCACTATGATAATTGTAATTTAGTTGAACACTGAATTTACCATTGCAGATTTCTGGAATTTAAAGCTTTTACGGATTAAAGATACTGCAGAGAATATAACGACAGAAAAAAGACATGAGGGTGTACTAGAAAGGTTTAAGAAAACCATTATTCAACAAGAAGATAAACGGTATCAGGTTTGTCTTCCATGGATTGATGGTCATCCTGAGTTACATAACAATTTGGATCAAGCACAAAAAAGATTATTCACTACTTTTATAACTTCATATGGCTTATGGAAGATATATCTCGGTGATATGTTCATGTTCGCTTGAAGCTGTGGAAGCGTATCGAGCGCCTCTTGCCAAAAGTGACGTCTCGCCTCACCAGATCCTACATCAGGTTCTATTCCAACCAAGCGGAATAGAAATGGTACCTTTAAACAGCTTATTACTCAAGAATGGAAAAGATATTGACGTGTAGTTTTCGCTATACTTCTTAAATTTGTTTCAAGTTTTTAATGACTTTTTTACATTGTCAATTATAAACTTGAGTGTTTTCGTTCTTGATCTACATAAATCATTTGACGTTTCTTAACGTCAGTTATATTTTTTTCAAAGTCACCTTTATTAAACGATGTTTAAGATGTCAGGCGGCTTTTGAAAAAGGATAAAGTTGATTGTAAGAATATTAGATCATTTTTTATTTAAAATGAACCAGAAAATACACGCATAAAAATTTATAAAAAATGAATTAACTTTAACAATGTTACAATTACATATTTTTGATGTAAATTCATAAAAAAATATCTCCTCTAAGCCTTTATCAAATACTCACAATGTGTACATTTTTGAAAAGGGAAAAAAGTGACTTTCAGATAGTATGGACAAATATAGGATGTTCTATTTAATGTAAACCGATAATTTTGCTTAAAAATAGGCAATTTCGGGAAAAAGTATACAGTTGGCAACTATGCCAAAAAAAAACTTGAATTTTGAGTTACGAGCTGTTAAAATGTGTTACTTTATTTATAGTTGGACATCCTGTATTTCTGGTTCTACTTTTACATTGTTATTTCAATCAATCCATTTGGCAAGAGATAAAATTATATTAATTGTGTCTTTCTTATCTTCCGAATCTCTCATAAATATTTTTTTATTTTATCTATTTTTATATTTATTTTTTATTTTTAATGATTTTTTGTTTTTTTTTTAAACTTTTATTCTTTGTGAAATTTAAATTTGTTAAAGTGTTGTATAACTTGTTTAAGTTGGTAGTTGTAATCTTTAGTTAGTGATCTTTTGTTAAGTTGGTAGTTCGGCAGTCAAGATGTCTGAAGAACGTGCCAGCTCAGAAGCTTGATTGTAAGAAACTATAAAATTAAAGGATACAAATAATTCACCATAGTTTTAAAACTACATATGAAAACAAACCAAAACAAAAGGAGGATAGTTTTTTTTAATATTTTTTTTCATTACTTTCTTAGTTGTTATAGTTATGCCTACAGGAGTGATAAAATTAAAAAATCGTAAGTAAAAAGAACAAAAAAATTAATCTTTATTTTTAAAAATAAAAATATATGGGTCATAAGGGTATATTTCCATGTTTCTTAGAAGGATTTTGTAACCTTTTATTTTCTAACATCTCCAAGTCTTTACACAATCTTCTTCTAGTTGTTCTTGGTTCTATAACATCTTCCACGAATCCTATAAGAATAAAATAAATAAATGAACAATAATGCTACAAAAAAAGTGAACCACATTTACCCTTTCGTGCTATATAATATGGATTTCCAAACTTCTCTTTGTATTCAGCTTCTTTTTCTTTAATATCAGGATGCCCTTTATATAAAATAGCTACTGCTCCTTCTGCGCCCATAACAGCAACTTCTGCAGTAGGCCAGCAGTAATTTATGTCACTTCTTAAATTTTTGGAAGACATTACGATATAGGCTCCTCCATACGCCTAGGGTAAATGTTTTATTTAATATTCATTTAATCGTCAATAACTAGATTATTATTTAATTATTTAGTAAAAATAGCCATTTGCAGATTAAGAACAAACCGGACCTATCGCGAAACAAAAATGTTTTAAGGATTTTCTAATATAAAATTGTATTTATATGCGCGCTACTGGAAATACTTTGCGATATTATGTGTCTCGAGAATATTGAGAGCTTTAATTTGTGCAACGATAAGGCAGTACTCTACAGAGACGTTTAAGAAAAAATCTGATGTGTCCAACACATGACTTTCCTATCTAGTTATTATAGGTTTTTTTCTATAGATATTCATTGAAAACGAAAATACTGAAAAATTTAAGTTTAGCACTTTTCCCCCAATTTTTATAGAGAATTATATCACAAACAAGTTCTATTTAAATAATTTTTATACAAAATGTTTTTTTTGCATTTTGTCAAGTTTCTCGAATACGGACCATTTTAGGAAAATTTTGTAAAGAACAAAAAAAATTGATAATAATATTTTAAGTAACTTTTAATTAAAAAATGTTCTTCTCCAAACGTAAATAACAGATATATTCCATAAAATATAAAAATGACCCCCAGATGTTCCGACTCTGCCCAAAATCTAATCAGTTCATTGAATACCGGAATAAAGCTTAAGTTTAAAATTTGGTGTTTTTCTTTGTATCGGTTCATGAGTTATGGTGGATACAGACACACACACACACACATACACACACACACACACAGACAGACACACAGACACACAGACACACAGACACACAGACACACAGACACACAGACATACAGACACACAGACACACAGACGCACACACAGACATCATCCCGAAAATAGTCAAAACGGATTCAGGGGACCCCAAAACGTAAAAATCCGTCGAAAACTGGAGGTCGAAAAAAATTATGATTCCTATACTTTTCTTATCTCTATACAGATAGGAAAGTAAAAAGGTTGAATACAGCTGATCATGGGCGTCGTTTGGGGGGGCAAGGGGGGGGGGCAGTTGCCCCCCCTGGCTTTTACGGCTTAATCAATAATGCATAAGATATGCATTACGAACAACAATCTCATAGAAATAATATTCAGGCTAATATAGTTGAAGAATATTATAGGTTGAATATATTTATTGCATATCTGGGTTCCGCTTTTCCGAAGACTTTGTTAGTTTTTCCTTAAGCATGTTACATCCCAAAAACATAAAAAATACTTTTTTCACTACCGATAAAAAAATGAAAGTGGTGGAAAAATTTGGAATCGACAATTTTGAAGCTGAATACCAAACTGGAATACGAAAGAGCTTTCTGCACACAATGAGCTCTCCATAGATGATATAGCGTCCAAATATTGTGAATTTTATTCAGACATACAAAATGGTTTAAAAAATATTTATGGCTCTTCCACCAACGACAGAGTTAATCGAAAGAACGTTTGAAACGCTAAGGCATGTTAAAACATGGCTGCGGTCTATTCGATCAGTGCGAAGTCATGGTAGGGGAAGCAAAAGCGATACTAGCGCAAGCTGCGGATAATTCGAGTATTTTAGGGCGATATTTTGTAATTTTGGCGTATCAATTACACGTATACATTTTACTTTTTATTAAAAAAATAGGTAAAAACAATATAATGAGCAACCGGAGTTGATATGTTACAAATTATACTAGCAAAAAGACTGTAAATTATATGAATGTTCAGTAGCAAAATCGAAATTAAATAAAAGAAATAAATGGACAGCTATAATAAGAACAAAAAACCTTTATTTTTGTAATAATTAAGCAATAAATTATTTTTTATGATATTCTTTAACATCCCTTAAATCTTAAATGTTTAGTAAATGATTAGATTTCTGCGTTTAATTATTGTATATGGCTGACATGCAATCTTGTGACTTATTGATAGGAAACCAGTTATATTCATTAATTTCTATGGGTTCTATCGAACTAAAAATGAAGAAAATATAAATTACAATCGCAAATATACCAATTATTTTTGTTATTACGTTTTAATTCTACGTTATTATATAATGGTAATATTTTGACATTATTTAACATACTCTTCAATGATAACTTATTATGCTTAGGCAAGATCTCTATTTACGAGAAAATGTAAATACCTGCCTATGTTTTATTATTGATTTTTTTTAGCTAAAGTAATAAAAATATATAATAATAATTTTTTCACTTGTTTTAAAATTAAAATTAACATATATATTTCTTAATTACGAACTCTATTAAAAATTGTATTGTCAGTATACGCAAATATCGTCCGTTAGTTCATAAAATAGTTGGCGGTGCTGTCACGCACGGAGTGAATAATGACTGAAAATAGGCTGACTGAAAAATAAATTATGTTTTCCGTTATTGTTGTTTTTAGTAGAGAAAAAAGAAATTCAAAATTTGCGTTTTCCTATTGTTTTTTTGTATTCATTGACATATTTGAGTGAGTTTTTTTATGTTTTTGTTTTTTATAAATTTTTATTTTTAATATTATTATGTTCATATTTTTCTTTTATATCACACCTTCTGTTTGTTTTTTAAAAATGTGCTTAAAGTTTCTTGTTTTTTTTTAATTTTAGTTTTTGTCTTTTTTCTTTGGTTATTTTATTTATTAGAGACTTGTTATGACAACTTAAGTATCAGTTCTGTCAAATGGGTCAGTGACATTGTTAGGGTTACTACTAAAGTTCCACTTCCCTTATTTTCACTATTCAGTGAGATATCTGAATAATTTTGTTCTGTTTGAAAGACTGGAACAAACACTTTCTTATGATTGATTCAATTATTCTATGACTTACTTCCGGTTTTTCCGGAAATAACGAAAATCGAATTTTTTTTATTGTAAATTTAAAAATTTTTGTATAATACCTAATCATGTATTGAAAATTTTCTGTCAGTTGTCAAAATGGCCGCCATTATGGATAATATTTTTTCTAAACATGTAACTATTAATTCGTTTATGGAAAAAAATATAGGAATGTACGATCTTTATAAAATCCTTGTAAACTTCAAAATTTCCATTGAGATCCATTTATCGTTTTTATTATTAGCAAACTTTTTTGTTTAAAAGCTTGGAACAAATACTGTCATATACTGGATTAAATTGGTGTGTGACGTCATGGCTTACTTCTGGTTTTTCGGAAATAACAGAAAATCTCAATTTATTTTTAATTTTTAAATAGAAACCCCCTTTTTTATTGAAAATTTAAATTTCGGGAACATTTATGGAAAAGAATCATGTGTTGAAAATTTTCTGTCAGCTGTCAAAATGACCATCATATTGGAAAATATATTTTTTTAATATGTTACAGAAAATTTTCAATACACGCCCCAAAAATGTCCCAGAAATTCAAATTTCAATAAAAAAAAATGGTTTTCATTTAAAAATAAAAAATAAATTGCGATTTTCTGTTATTTCTGGAAAAGCTGTAAGTAAGCCATGACGTCACAGAAAAATTAAATCCATCATAAGAAAATTTTCTTTTATTTTTCATTTCCTTTGTTTTCCAACAAATAAACATTCTAAAATTTTTTCAAAATGTTGCCCCCCCCTATAGAATTGTGTAACGACGCCCATGCAGCTGATCTAAATCTTCAAGTTTACTAATGATTAATTTACGTGCTAGTTTGCGTTTTGTTTATAGACCATTCTTCCTCGTTAATTTAAGAGCGGCTGCTACTGCTAATAATAATTTAAAAACAGAATTTCCAAGTATTATATGAATTTTGTGAACCAAAATAAAACAATATGGTAGCTTAAGGAACATTGCTCAAAAAGTTACTTGCTTTCCTTGTTAAACTAAGACATGGATTGTCAGATGAGTTCCCAATCTGATATAAATATACATAAAGAGGCAATATAAAGAGCCAATACTCCAGTCAAAATAAACATTTAATTCGATCGTTATTCATTTCCCTAAATCCTACTTAGACCTACCGTATAACGAACTTTTTTTGTAATGAAATAATGTATGACTCTGTATGTGAACTAATAAGATTTTTTTTGATAAACAACTCCAAAGTTAAAAGGCAATTATTTTCTATTTTTTGTCAACAATTTCAACATTTTGTTGATTTTTTCACCTTGCATATTCAAACGCAATCACCCTGTAACTACGAAATAATTTTGGCTGCCCTCAAAAATTGTACAAGGGGTATATTTCTAATCCAACACAGTGTGTCAAATTATCTAATATACAGTATTTCTCTGAAACATATCTACTTATGTCAGTATATTTATTGTTTAAAATTCGTATATTTGGTACATATTAAGTTATACAGTTCATCAAATTTCTAGAGGTGTTCGACGCCCAGACAGAGAACGCGCTACGTGTGACTAAGATAGCTATTGTACAGTCTGCTAAACAAGTTATTTTAAATAGTTTTTAATATTTTTAGGTAATTAAATTTTAAAAGTGTGGAATAGTTTAGGGATTAAATTGGTCTGATTGGACTTTCTTAGAACGTTTTTAAAAGCAGCTAAAGATAGTATGTAGAATTGAAAATAATTATTATGCCATAAAAGGTGTTTTGGAATTCCTTCAACCAATTTTATAGGATAGCGGAAAATACCTATAATTTTTTTGTAGGCCTTTGTAAATCGTGGAAATAGTTTATATTTTATTTCTACCTTATTAAGGAAAATGGTACCTATTATTAATAACGGTTGTTTCTGAAACATTACTAAAATTTTCGAAATTTTGTTTTTCTACAAAATAATAAACTATACTATTTAGAAAAAAATTTATTTCTCTTATAATTTTATAAAAAATAACGGGAATATTTACATTTCTTGATCTATTAAACAAAACGATAAATTATCTCGACGAATGACACCATGTTCTAGTACGGAAGCTAGCTTTACATTTTTGTTGGTGGTTTCATGGGTTTCATATCAATTTTTTGTAATTGTAGTTTACACGTACATATACCTCTTAACACTTGTTTGCTTTATTAAAAAAGTGTGTTGTTGTGATTTACGTCAAAATAAGTCAAAAACAACTTGAAACCC